CTTAACTACCACAGGTTTGAAAAACCTAAAACATCTATGATGTGGCCCTTTACAGAAAAAGTTTGCCAACTCTGTCCTACAAAAGTGCCTTACCCACATAGTAGTTGCTTGACTTAATTCAGGTTCCCTGGGGAAGTAGACACTGAGATGGAGATTGGTGGTCAAGAGTTACTGGAGTGTGGTCTCCAGAAAAACTGTGAGGGAAGGAGTAGAGATGGCCACAGATAGCTCAGCTCATCTCACAGGGTGCTCAGGAGTTGGGATGATCCTTCAAAATTATTCCAAATGAGATGAGGGGGTTGGCTTTTGTACTCCAACATCAACAAGAATGGGGAATAACTTTAGTTGGGGCGATTCAGTCGAGGGCAATTCACAAATTGAGAATCAACAGTGAGCCTTCAGCAGCCAAACTCCCAGAAGCTGCTGAAGGCATGAGTTCTTTGTCCTAAAGGAGAAATCTACGTGGAGCAACATAGCATCCTCTACATTTCTCTGTAAGTATTTATGGAGGAGGATTCCCTGGGTGGTGCAAATGGTAAACAGGCTTGGCTAATAGCCAAAAAGTGGAAGGGTTTGGTCAATCCAGAGGTTTCTCAGAAGAAAGGCTTAATGAGCTACTTCTGAAAAATCAGCCCTTGAGTACTGGGTAAGATGGCAGAATAGGCAGAAAAACTGCACAGACCCTCTTCAACAAAGAAAAAGGGAACCAATTAACACAGATTCAGAAGATAATCTCGAACCCCTGAGCCTTGAAGGGAACGATATAGAAGTGGACTAAACTCCAACTAGCAGAAGAATTTGCATGAAATCACCAAAAAGGAGACATACAGAGCTGTGGTCTGGCAGCGATCCTGATGGCACAGACAGCTTGGATATTGCCGAGTGGTAGTACGACCTAAGAATTAACCTAAAAATTGGCCCTGCTAGCCATGGACTGCACGGAGGACTGCTCTGGTGGCTAGGGAATAAAAGGGGAAGCAGTGAACAGGAAGGCAGGCTGAGCTGTGGACTTTTGTCTGTCCAGAGGGTGCAGCCATTTTGAATGTTTACAAGCAGCTTGACCATTTTGGATATTTAAAGTGAGAGCATTCTCCCAGATTCCAGGGACTGAAGAACAGGTTCCATTTGCTGGGAATCCCAAGGACATTCTGGACCCAGACGATTGGAGAGGT